AAATAAAAATAAGGCAGGTCGACTTCAGGAACTACGGATGACTACAGAGTGATCAAGTTAACAGAAAACATAAACAACAAATACCTAACTAACTAACCATGGCTGCACGTGTCTCCGAGTCTAAGTCTAATAAAATCACTCATCCATGACTGGCCCCATTCTTCCTATGCGCTCATGTGCCTTCGACTAAACTAGTGGTAAGGGGACGTAACCCATGATATCCCGTAGAAATAAATACAGTTTCTTGAATATATTGCTACGTAATTTGTTATTTTAAATATGAATACCTCTTGACAGGTTGGTTTTATTAGTTGCATTGAATTTGATATGAAGCTGTGTACCATGTATGCAAATGAATAGGCACCTTTATTCCTCTCCTCAGTGAGGGCGAAATTTTAAAGCATAAAGGCGCCTATGGAAAGTGATCGAAGGACGCTGGAAGATTGTCCCTTGTGTTAAACGGTTACACTTTCACTTTAATTTCTATTAGTATAATTAATAAGTCTACGACACAAACAGGTTCAATTTTCTTGTTTGAAAGAAACATTGACATTTCAAATGACATTACAAGTAATAGATCTAGAATCAATTACGTAACGGTAGTACAGTGTTAAGATCCATGCTCGCAGTGGGCTTTACATAATTTCAATAATTTGTGTCCAACCCAATTGTTTCAATTAAAAATGTTTAAAGGGCGATGATTGGCTTCTATTGTTTCATACGATTTAAAGTAAATCAAATTTCATTAATTCTTACAAAAGACATATAACGGTACTTGACTCCATGAAAATATTTAGTTTTTAGCATATTTCAGTACCGATGAGCAGCTTCACACTGGTGTAAAAAATCTGGGTTTTCTTTTGATACTTGTAGGTGATAAGTATCATGTGTATAAATTTCCAGTTGATAACATCTGAAGGAGAAATCTCCATGAAGAAGTTAGGATATCTAGGTTTTTCCCGGATACACTCACCTGACGTTGTAAATGACGTCGAGAACTACAATAATGTCAAGCTTCACCAAATTTCTATTATGTTTTTATTCACACTGACTCATGTCGCTCCAATATTCGGCAAATTAGCGGATTTTAGCCATGTAGACACCCCGTTCAGCATCAAATGTCATAATATGTGAATTTCTTATTTGCGGGAAACCGAACGGAAACAATATAAACGTATTGAAATGAATTCGGATGAATTCTGAACAAAACGATATATAACATAATTTTTTTTAATGTCATTCAGACATATTTTACAGCATATTTCCAGAAACGTTACAAATAAAGACTTGCTGAACAAGAGTTATTCCCCTTACCTTGGATTTCTGTCCGTTGAATTCTTTAATGAAATGGGAAGATTTTATTATCAGAATGTTGATAGTCATCAATTCCCAAAGATGTCGTTTTAAGATTTCACTCCACTCTTAGGGCAGTCCTTGTATATTCCGTTTTAAATTACTGTATAGACGATAAAAATGATTTCAATTTAAACTTTCATATAAGTATATAGAACACTAAGTGTTATTCTGTGTATTTGTCTCCTCTGCACAAAAGGTGATGCATCCAATTTGGTGTATGCTCGATTGCTTCCAAAATTGTGAAAAATATATCAAGCAGACCATGACATCTTGTCATTGAAATAGCTATATTCGGGATGTAATTCTAAGCGTCGTTACTGCGGGAGTTATCATGTACAGATAGCCTGTCCTGTAAGGTGTCATCGAATATAATAAAAAAATATAGAGAGAGAGAAAAAAACACGAAATTTAGAAAGAGAGTGTTTGCTTCTGTGAGTTTATAGTCCAGCATCTTTTTTATCCAACGAGTATGGGCTAGTGGAGCATACAAACCGCCCTACATCCGTGGTCCGTCCGTCCGTTCGTTCGTTCGTCCTTCTAGTTATCGCTAAACTTTTTTCTTGAGAAAAACTGAATAACGATAGTAAAATAGTTTCATGTGGGTAGTAACAACTAGAATAGTACCGTGAAGATAGTGACATCAAATATGGATTATAGGATTTCACTTTTCTGTTAACCGCGCTTTTATGGAGTAATTCATAATTCTTAGAAGAATTGCTCCATAATAAGTGGTTAACATAAAACTAAAATTCATTCCTTTTATTGACACGTCAGTGTCTTCTCAAAATTTACTGTAGAACAATCCTTGTTAGTACGTGGCATTGTAACTCCAGAAAAGGCGGTCATTGATGGGAGGGGGTTTAATGAATAGAACAGCAACTGGTGACTTTTCACAACAGAATGGTTGTATTTTTTTTCAGCGGCGATAAATAGTTCCCTTTTCAAGTGTAATAGTAACATAAAAAAACAAATGTTTTTATTTCGTGTCTTATTGGATTAATATAATTAACAAAATATAATTATATATCCATGTGTTTGGCAAAAAGCAGTTCCAGTAACATTTTCATGCGCAAGTTCAAAGGTCAATGTTTCAATGCGTCTGGTAAATGAATATATAGTAACATGTGACTTTAAAGCATGTTATGGTGACAGTTTATGATTTTGTACATGTGAACTGTATCCATAAGTCTTTAATTCATTGTCAAACGTCCAACCCACAGTCTGTCACACATGGGAATGTTTCTAGGTTCGAAACATGCCGCTCCCTAGTGTGTATCCACGCTTCTCAAAATATACCTAGGTGTTTTCCTGTTCCTCCTGTCTCCCATGTGACTCGTCCCATGACTAACACAACAAACTGATAGTTTGAAAGACTATTTCGGCGTATGACTAAAATTGCTAATCTAATTTGCGTTCCTTCACCTCCCTCTCCCGTCAAAGAAGTCAGATCTACATGAAAATGAAAATCCCTGCGCTGCAGTGAAATAGAACCGTTAATTTGACTTAAACTTTCCGGTAAGTCATGTCTACATAGGAGGGTGTGTAGAGGAATAAATGTAAAGAAAAAAAAACATTAATTTCAATTAGAAATGCATTTAATATATATCGGCATGAGGATGCGCATAACAAAACAATATTAACAGAAAGCATCAGTGATAGTTCACACAGTGTAGAACAGCATTAACAAACGGCATACTGTATGATCACAGCATAGAGCTACTCTCTTTCAATATTAGCACGGTTTCAGGGGAAACATATAGACTGATATTTTCCGGAAGATTTCCAGATGTAAAGAGTGTGACATTATTATCTTATCTTATTTAATGCCATTTTTGATTTGGTGATTCGAAGTAAGTATTTCAGAGCTAATTTAACAGATTATTTAGAATTTGTAACATTTCATTATAATTGATAACTAGAGTGCCCTTATGAGCAAATCTTTCCTCTAACTAACACACACACAGCGTTGCTTGCATAACTCAAGAAAACGATGACGTAATTATGGATAAAATTACAAAATATTATATATTACAATATGGAAATAATCAATTAACAATGTATTTAGATACTTCTACGTGTGGTTAAGACAATGTCAGATAAATATTCTTAAAGTTCAGAATTTCATGATGAGTATACAAGTATATAAAACGATGTAAATACGAAGGGAGACAACTCGTGTGTATCAGCGATTGGCGGTCGTCAGTAAGAGAGTTGGAACTCTATATCTTCGTTACTTCATGTGGACATTGGTTTATTTCCGTTTGTTCTCTGTCGAAAGCATGTATTCCAAAATCTTTTTGAAGAGTCTTTTCTTTAAATCTGAAATAGAAGACGCAACGATATCATGAGTGAAATAAAGAACGAACCTTAAAATAAGTAAACGTGGATCATAACTGAATTAGTTAAAGTGGAACATAACTGAATTAGTTAAAGTGGAACATAACTGAATTAGTTAAAGTGGAACATAACTGAATTACTTAACGTGGAACATAACTGGACTAGTTAACGTGGATCATAACTGAATTAGTTAACGTGGAACATAACTGAATTAGTTAAAGTGGAACATAACTGAATTAGTTAAAGTGGAACATAACTGAATTAGTTAAAGTGGAACATAACTGAATTAGTTAAAGTGGAACGTGGAACATAACTGGACTAGTTAACGTGGATCATAACTGAATTAGTTAACGTGGAACATAACTGAATTAGTTAACGTGGAACATAACTGAATTAGTTAAAGTGGAACATAACTGGACTAGTTAACGTGGATCATAACTGGACTAGTTAACGTGGAACATAACTGAATTAGTTAAAGTGGAACATAACTGAATTACTTAACGTGGAACATAACTGGACAAGTTAACGTGGATCATAACTGAATTAGTTAACGTGGAACATAACTGAATTACTTAACGTGGAACATAACTGGACTAGTTAACGTGGATCATAACTGAATTAGTTAACGTGGAACATAACTGAATTAGTTAACGTGGATCATAACTGAATTACTTAACGTGGAACATAACTGGACTAGTAAACGTGGAATATAATTTGACTAGTTAACGTGGAACATAACTGGATTAGTTAACGTAGAACATAAGTGGACTAGTTAACGTGGAATATAACTGCACTAGATAGCCTCGATCATAACTGGACTAGTTAACATGAAACATAAGTGGACTTGTTAACGTGGATTTTAGCTGGATATTAGTAGTCAACATGGATAATTTCTAAACTAGTTAACGTAGATCATAACTGAATAAGTTAACGCTGATCATGACTGTATCAGTTAACATGGAGCATAACTGAATAGTGTTAAGCATAACTTAAAAAGTAAACTAGAACATGCAGAATAAGGCATAAGTTGCAATGTAAAGCAGAACTCAACCTACTAAGCAATGATATTGGAAATAATGGTTGTAAACCATTTATTTAATAAGGAAAATGGAATGACCTCTTAGCTCGTCGATTTCAGACTTACCGTTCTGCTCGCCCTCCTTGTTCTCCTCTTCTTCTTCTTCCTCTTCTTCTTCTTCTTCTTCTTCTTCTTCTTCTTCTTCTTCTTCTTCTTCTTCTTCTTCTTCTTCTTCTTCTTCTTCTTATTCTACTTCTTCTTCTCCTTCGACTTCTCCTTCTGCTACTTCTTAATATACTTCAACTTCTTGTAAACATTCTTCTTCTTCTTCCTCTTCTTCTTCTTCTTCTTCTTCTTCTTCTTCTTCTTCTTCTTCTTCTTCTTCTTCTTCTTCTTCTTCTTCTTCTTCTTCTTCTTCTTCTTCTTCTTCTTCTTCTTCTTCTTCTTCTTCTTCTTCTTCTTCTTCTTCTTCTTCTTCTTCTTCTTCTTCTTCTTCTTCTTCTTCTTCTTCTTCTTCTTCTTCTTCTTCTTCTTCTTCTTCTTCTTCTTCTTCTTCTTCTTCTTCTTCTTCTTCTTCTTCTTCTTCTTCTTCTTCTTCTTCTTCTTCTTCTTCTTCTTCTTCTTCTTCTTCTTCTTCTTCTTCTTCTTCCTCCTCCTCTCCCTGTTCTTCCTCCTCTTCCTCCTCCTCTTCCTCTTCGTCCTCCTCTCCCTGTTCTTCCTCATTTTCCTCATTTTCCTCATTTTCCTCCTCTTCCTCCTCTCCCTGTTCTTCCTCATTTTCCTCATTTTCTCCTTCTTCCTCTTCTTCCTCTTCTTCCTTCTCTCCCTGTTCTTCCTCATTTTCCTCATTTTCTCCTTCTTCCTCCTCTCCCTGTTCTTCCTCATTTTCCTCATTTTCTCCTTCTTCCTCTTCCCCTTCGTCATCGGCCCCTTGTTCATTTTCAGTGTCCCCTTCCTCTGTGAGATTAAACAAACGTCTACTATTATAGAGATAATAATTTGATGGGAGACATGCTATAATTCAGTATTGGTTTTTCCATTACTGGAAAAAAGAAAGCAAAGAGTTGGAAGAAATTTAATCGATCGATCGATAAACATTTCAAAGAAGAAAGAACACGATCTCTTTGACAGGGATCGAACCCGGTTCTGAGGTGTGTGAGCAAACGTGAAAAGGATTGGACCTGCGATAAAATGTTTGGCAGTCACTAATTGAAAATCATAAATTATTAAAAAAAAAGTTCCAAAGCATATTAAAGTATTTCCTGTTTGTATTTCATGCAATTTTCAATATAATTTAAGTGGCTGTACTATACAGATGTATATAACCATTTATCTCTCTCTTCCCCATGTAATTGTTAAAATAGAAACGTCTTACCATCATAAGGTAGATAAAATGTACTTCAGTAAAGTATATCATCTCACCTTGACCATTGTCGCCTCCTTCAACCTCTCTCAGCACCACTGAAAAGGATATTTTCATGATTTGAACACTTTCGCATAAACTATGTCTTTATTTCCATTTACACGATTTTGTTATTTTTTACATAAAAAAATTTTATAATCTGTGCAACAAATTGATTCTGCATCTATAGGACTGGTTTCCGTGTTCCATGAGTCATTGCGATAATTTATGTAAAGGTTTTAGCGACATGGTACAGTAATACTGTCTCAAATTATTGTTACGGATAATTCATATTGATTTTGAAAATAACATGTTCGGTTAACTAATGGGTAAATATTGCAAAAACAAATTTTGTAATATTTCAATGTGCAGGTAAGTTTAGTGTTATTTCATACAATTATTGACAGACGATAACATGACATTTCAGATTACCAATAACCAGACGACAACATGACATTTCAGATTACCATTAACCAGACGATAACATGACATTTCAGATTACCAATAACCAGACGACAACATGACATTTCAGATTACCATTAACCAGACGATAACATGACATTTCAGATTACCATTAACCAGACGATAACATGACATTTCAGATTACCATTAACCAGATGATAACATGACATTTCAGATTACCATTAACCAGACGATAACATGACATTTCAGATTACCATTAACCAGATGATAACATGACATTTCAGATTACCATTAACCAGATGATAACATGACATTTCAGATTACCATTAACCAGACGATAACATGACATTTCAGATTACCATTAACAAGACTATAACATGACATTTCAGAATACCAATAACCAGACGATAACATGACATTTCAGATTACCATTAACCAGATGATAACATGACATTTCAGATTACCATTAACCAGACGATAACATGACATTTCAGGATACCATAAACCAGACGATAACATGACATTTCTGGAAACCATTAACCAGACGATAACATGACATTTAATGATACCATTAACCAGACTATAACATGATATCTCAGGATACCATTAACAAGACTATAACATGACATTTCTGGAAACCATTAACCAGACGATAACATGACATTTCAGATTACCATTAACCAGATGATAACATGACATTTCAGATTACCATTAACCAGACGATAACATGACATTTCAGGATACCATAAACCAGACGATAACATGACATTTCTGGAAACCATTAACCAGACGATAACATGACATTTAATGATACCATTAACCAGACTATAACATGATATCTCAGGATACCATTAACAAGACTATAACATGACATTTCTGGAAACCATTAACCAGACGATAACATGACATTTAATGATACCATTAACCAGACGATAACATGACATTTCAGATTACCAATAACCAGACTATAACATGACATTTCAGATTACCATTAACCAGACGATAACATGACATCTCAGGATACCATCAACCAGACGATAACATGACATTTAATGATGCCATTAACCAGACGTTAACATGACATTTCAGGATACCCATAGACAGACACTTACTTGCTCTCTTCAAGTCCATTGTCAGCTGGTCTATCTCATAGTCGATGCGTTTTTGTAACATCTGAGAAAGAAAAAAACAATGATAAGATAATGATTGTCATAAATCAACATATGCTTTCGGTATCTTCCGTCAAACCTTTGTCAAGCTTTAATATATACCACTAATCACAAGTTAGGTCAGTCTCAAATATTCCACGTGTAACTTAGATTAATCTGAATAATCGTTAAAACGTGTTTAAATTTGATCTACATCGTCTACCTGTCAACTCTGAGTTATCTCATATTAACCATACGGAGTGCTGATTGGGGCGTCATTACGATTATGACGTCAGAATAAAACATTGCTTGGATTATAGAGGCACGTCACTTCCGTAATTTGCTTGTCTGTCTAGCTATATTGTTACACATGAAAAGTCTTACATTTGTACGATAGTACGATAGCCCCTGTGTTTGGATAAAAAAAGATTTCTTGTACTGTTAATAAACAACCTACGTTCAAATTTTTAAAATCTAAAATATTAATGTCAGTTATCATTTCCTCCGTACATTGTTCAAACTATACTCCTATAATACTTAATTTTAATCAAGAGAACACATTATAATTCTCCAAAACGCGCTAAAATGCACATCATACAATAGATCTTTAGTTTTTCCTACAGTAGCTGTTGTTTAAAGATTGACTATGGTTACTACTAAAGTATTGATCAATAGAACATCAAAATTTTATATAATCAAACATACACTATAATCGATTGAAAAACGCTGACAAAATCCTGGAATACCTTCACAATTTTAATGATATGAAGTCTCCAGATCATTTTTGTTTTAATTCTACACAAAAACAATAATTTGAAGTTTCAAAAATAAACTAAAATCATCTCCACTTTGTAAAATTTTAAATATACAAGTGTTTTTAACAATATGTGTACTACCCATTGCATGGAAATAAAATCCGATTTATGTCGGTGTGGAAATTATAATTTAATTAGCAAATGTTGTTGACTCATAATCATAATAATAACAATAATAATAATAACAATAATAATAAGAATAGAAAAAAGTCTAAATAATGGTATTGCAAGATCTTGTAGAGTCAAATCTAAAACGACGTGAAACTGTATGAAATGTTGTTGACGAATGCCAGGAACAATCAGGGAATTAGTGAAAAAAATGAACTTTCATGACTATCGTTGGTTTTACTTTAACAGAATGTATAAGATTAAAGCACTATGTTAATTATTATGTTTCAATGATCGTTACTAGATGTTGGAACCCCTGGAGTATCGAGGATGTAGTGATTGTAACCCCTGGAGTATCGAGAATGCTGTGATCGCAACCCTTGTAGTATCGAGGATATAGTGATTGTAACCCCTGAAGTATCGAGGATGTAGTGATCGTAACCCTGCAGTATCGAGGATGTAGTGATCGTAACCCCTGAAGTATCGAGGATGTAGTGATCGTAACCCTGCAGTATCGAGGATGTAGTGATCGTAACCCTTGGAGTATCGAGGATGTAGTGATCGTAACCCTGCAGTATCGAGGATGTAGTGATCGTAACCCCTGGGGTATCGAGGATGTAGTGATCGTAACCCCTGCAGTATCGAGAATGTAGTGATTGTAACCCCTGGAGTATCGAGGATGTAGTGATCGTAACCCTGCAGTATCGAGGATGTAGTGATCGTCACCCTGCAGTATCGAGGATGTAGTGATTGTAACCTCTGGAGTATCGAGGATTTAGTGATCGTAACCACTGGAGTATCGAGGATGTAGTAATCGTAACAATGCAGTATCGAGGATGTAGTGATCGTAACCCCTGGAGTATCGAGGATGTAGTGATCGTAACCCCTGGAGTATCGAGGATGTAGTGATCGTAACCCCTGGAGTATCGAGGATGTAGTGATCGTAACCCCTGGAGTATCGAGGATGTAGTGATTGTAACCCCTGGAGTATCGAGGATGTAGTAATCGTAACAATGCAGTATCGAGGATATAGTGATCGTAACCCCTGGAGTATCGTGGATGTAGTGATCGTAACCCCTGGAGTATCGAGGATGTAGTGATCGTAACCCCTGGAGTATCGAGGATGTAGTGATCGTAACCCCTGGAGTATCGAGGATGTAGTGATTGTAACCCCTGCAGTATCGAGAATGTAGTGATTGTAACAATGCAGTATCGAGGATGTAGTGATCGTAACCCCTGGAGTATCGAGGATGTAGTGATTGTAACCCGTGGAGTATCGAGGATGTACTGATCGTAACCCCTGCAGTATCGGGGATGTAGTGATTGTAACCCCTGGAGTATCGAGGATGTAGTAATCGTAACAATGCAGTATCGAGGATATAGTGATCGTAAGCCCTGGAGTATCGTGGATGTAGTGATCGTAACCCCTGGAGTATCGTGGATGTAGTGATTGTAACCCCTGGAGTATCGAGGATGTAGTGATTGTAACCCCTGGAGTATCGAAAATGTAGTGATTGTAACCCCTGGAGTATCGAGGATGTAGTGATCGTAACCCCTGGAGTATCGAGAGTGATAGTGATTGTAACCCCTCGAGGATGTAGTATCGAGAGTATGTGTAGTGATTGTAACCCCTGGAGTATCGAGGATGTAGTGATTGTAAACCCGAGAATGTAGTAGTGATCGTAACCCCTGGAGTATCGAGGATGTAGTGATCGTAACCCCTGGAGTATCAAGGATGTAGTGATCGTAACCCCTGGAGTATCAAGGATGTAGTGATCGTAACCCCTGTAGTATCGAGGATGTAGTGATCGTAACCCCTGGAGTATCGAGGATGTAGTGATCGTAACCCCTGGAGTATCGAGGATGTAGTGATCGTAACCCTGCAGTATCGAGGATGTAGTGATTGTAACCCCTGGAGTATCGAGGATTTAGTGATCGTAACCCCTGGAGTATCGAGGATGTAGTGATCGTAACCCCTGGAGTATCGAGGATGTAGTGATTGTAACCCCTGGAGTATCGAGGATGTCGTAACCCCTGGAGTATCGAGGATGTAGTGATCGTAACCCCTGGAGTATCGAGGATGTAGTGATTGTAACCCTGGAGTAGAGGATGTAGTGATTGTAACCCCTGCAGTATCGAGGATGTAGTGATTGTAACCCCTGGTGTAGTGATCGAGGTATCGAGGATATAGTGATCGTAACCCCTGGAGTATCGAGGATGTAGTGATCGTAACCCCTGGAGTATCGAGGATGTAGTGATCGTAACCCCTGGAGTATCGAGAATGTAGTGATTGTAACCCGTGGAGTATCGAGGATGTAGTGATTGTAACCCCTGGAGTATCGAGGATGTAGTATCCCTGTAGTATCCAGTGATTGTAACTCAGTATCGAGGAGTATCGAGGGTGTAGTGATTGTAACCCCTGGAGTATCGAGGATGAAGTGATCGTAACCCCAGGAGTATCGAGGATGTAGTGATCGTAACCCCTGGAGTATTGAGGATGTAGTGATTGTAACTCCTGGAGTATCGAGGGTGTAGTGATTGTAACCCCTGGAGTATCGAGGATGTAGTGATCGAAACCCCTGCAGTATCGAGAATGTAGTGATTGTAACCCCTGCAGTATCGAGGATGTAGTGATTGTAACCCCTGGTGTTTCGAGGATGTAGTGATCGTAACCCCAGTAGTATCGAGGATGTAGTGATCGTAACCCCTGGAGTATCGAGGATGTAGTGTTTGTAACCCCTGGAGTATCGAGAATGTAGTGATCGTAGCCCCTGGAGTATCGAGTATGTAGTGATCGTAACCCCAGTAGTATCGAGGATGTAGTGATCGTAACCCCTGGAGTATTGAGGATGTAGTGATTGTAACTCCTGGGGTATTGAGGATGTAGTGATTGCTAACCCTGGAGTATCGAGGATGTTGTGATCGCAACCCTGGAGTATCGAGGATGTTGTGATCGCAACCCCTGTAGTATCGAGGATGTAGTGATTGCTAACCCTGGAGTATCGAGGATGTAGTAATTGTAACCCGTTGAGTATTGAGGATGTAGTGATTATAATCGCTGGAGTATCGAGGATGAAGTGATTGTAACCCTGAAGTATCGAGGATGTAGTGACCGTAACCCCTGGAGTATCGAGGATGTATGATCGTAACCCCTGGAGTATCGAGGATGTAGTGATCGCAACCCCTGGAGTATCGAGGATGTAGTGATCGTGATCGTAACCCCTGGAGTATCGAGGATGTAGTGACCGTAACCCCTGGAGTATCGAGGATGTATGATCGTAACCCCTGGAGTATCGAGGATGTAGTGACCGTAACCCCTGGAGTATCGAGGATGTAGTGACTGTAACCCCTCAAGTATCGAGGATGCATCTACATATGTTATTTCAGTAATATTATTTCGGTTCTTATTATGGAAACATGACATTTATTGAAATTTATATGAATTGACTACATTTAAAAAGAGGTGTGTGTGTGGGTGGGGGAGGGGAGGGGGAAGATTTAAATTGAATTGACCCTTTTCACAAGTTGGTTTATCTCACTTGAAATTACCTTTTCCTGATCACTATATATATTGGGTGTGGTCGCTGGTCGCAGTATGATCAGAAAAGACATCGCTTGAATTTGATATTGCGGTAAAATTCCTTTAATTGACCCAAGTTTGCCCATCTTTCAGCAAACCTGAATTGGAACAGCTGTTCTGTTTAAACGTTAGCACGGTAAGGAAATTGTGTATTGTTGAAGTTGATACGAGGATATATGCATCAAATATGAACTTTCCCAGGTCATGCATGAATTCGGCAGTTCTAGGTTAATATTGTCTTTGCCGAAACGTAAACGAGACCTGTTAGCCAGTTCCAGAAGAGGGATTTTCTCAGCGACAACAATACACCATATATCATATGTCATTAAGATATTATGTTCCGTTTTGTTATGAGGCAGACTGCACGGATTGTTAGACTTTCTGATGCTTTAACATGTCAGCCATTTACCTTTATAAAATTACCTTTATCTACATTCATGTCATGTAGTCTGTCGGGGTGTATAATCTCTATGTGTCGGCTACATAGAGAGTGTATGCCGTGGTGGAAACTTAACGAGCTGAAACGTATGTAGATGTACAAGGACTAGGGTAAAGCTGTGATGACTGGGCAAAAAAAAAAAAAACAAGTTACAATGTTCAGTAAACTGATACAACTGTCGTCTGGCGGTGCATTTTGTCCTTGGAAGTTTTTTTGTAACGGTCAATTAAAGTTATTTATGTATATCTAGGTACAGTGTAAGTGTTCATTTTGGTAGGCTGGTGTGCGTTGCTGAAGGACGAATGGTATTGGCCATAAAGCCAGCCTTACTTTAAAATGCATGTAAAATACAAAAAAATAATGTATTGCTATGAAATTAATTGAATGAGGGTAAGTGCATTTTTATTTATTTATTTATTTATTTATTTTTTCATTGTTAAGAATAGACAGCTATAGCGTCTGATGGGCCTTCCGGCTTGCAATATTGGAACATCAATCTCAACGCCCCCGACCACTACCTTTCCCCAATACCCAATACCGAATTGTGTATGAAAGGATTCATATAAAGAAAATAAAGAAACACTTGCTTAGGTGTCACACTCCGAGTCAGTGCAGAGAGAAAACAAAACAAGATATATGGATGTGTTGCAGGAATAGTGTTTAATCCACCGCACTCAGGATGGACTGGTTTCTACCAGTTTTATGAATAACTGCGTCGTTAGGTCTCTAAAATGTGCATAATCAGTAAAACTGTAAATAACAGCATAATAAATGTGAATATTGACCTGAAAATATCATTTTAGACACAGAACTTTTCAGCCTTATCTAAGCATTGCTGCTCAGTACTCTGTCTAATTCAGTAACGTTGCCTCCCAGCCCATCCCAGTCAGCTGTGGGTGTTTAGGAAGTGGTGTTGTACTTATTTAACATTGTGCTGCAGTGATTTGAACAGAATTCGCTGCCATCTATTTCCCGCTATTTAACTTTTTGAATCAATGTCTGATAATTTTCGATATTTGAATCAAAATGAATGCTTACCTCAGAGTTTATATTTCTTTTGGCCGGCGCTCCGGTAACACTAATGAAAAGCGCCAAGGCTATGAATAGGAGAATCGTTTTCTTCATCATCTTGATGTTTGTAATTAATTGTTCCACTATTCGAGACAATATGTTACAATGTCCGGAGAAAATTGTTACGAAATATGGCGCTGAAATGTGGCAGGCTTCGGCGGAGACTATGAGAGGAAACTTTCTAAAAACCTATATATATTTGGACACGCTAGCTTGGTATACTATGATTCGTGTCAGCCAATGGAATACTTGGATATTACGGGTGATTTCATTGGCTTCAGTTGTTAAAAGATAGGTATTCGACAGGTTGAAATAAAGATAAAAAAAATTCCGACAAGGTAAAAGTGTACGATGCAAAAAGAACGAAACAATCGGGTCTTTGTGTGGGTATGATAATTCACTGTCAAGTGTCCCAGCATTATACACATTACAATCGACTTTTCAGCAGAAATTACCACTTTTGAACGCTTGGATGAGTTGCCACGATAACTGGTTTTAAACCACGAGCACGCAAATACCTATGTCTCAGCAAACAGAAACTGTAATATCTGTCCCTGTCTATTTTCACCGTTACTATGGAGACAAAGACATTCTGGGGACACCTATTTCCAATAGCAATATCATCGGTATTGTAGTGACAAGTGTAAATAATTTCTAAAGTAAACATCTCTCCTGAACATTAAATAAATCAGAGTCAGTCGTTAATTTGACATCTCTGTGGGTGCAGGGACACCAAAGCAATGTCCTCATATAGTTACGAGTAAGAGAGAAGACCTAAATATGATTTTAAGGAAACTATTGAGATGAATTCCCCTATCACTGTATTGTAGTTCCTGGTTCCCCTATCACTGTATTGTAGTTTCTGGTTCCCCTATCACTGTATTGTAGTTTCTGGTTCTCTTCGCTGTAATATACACATGCTTTCCCAATGTTGTTACATGCAAATGGTTTTCCAGCACTGTATCAAACACATGGTTTCCCCATACTGTAACACACACATGGCTTCACCACACTGTAACATACACATGGCTTCACCACGCTGTAACATACACATGGCTTCACCACACTGTAACATACACATGGCTTCACCACGTTGTAACATACACATGGTTTCCCCATACTGTAACACACACATGGTTTCCCCACACTGTAACACACACATGGTTTCCCCACACTGTAACACACACATGGTTTCCCCACACTGTAACACACACATGGTTTCCCCATACTGTAACACACACATGGTTTCCCCACACTGTAACACACACATGGTTTCTCCACGTTGTAACATACACATGGTTTCCCCACACTCTAACATACACGTCGTTTCCCCACATTGTAACACACACGTGGTTTCACCACACTGTAACATACCCGTGGTTTCACCACACTGTAACATACACATGGTTTCCCCACACTGAAACATACACATGGTTTCTCCACGTTGTAACACACACATGGTTTCCCCACACTCTAACATACACGTCGTTTCCCCACATTGTAACACACACGTGGTTTCACCACACTGTAACATACCCGTGGTTTCCCCACACTGTAACATACACATGGTTTCCCAACACTGTAACACACACATGGTTCCCCCGCTTTATATACAAATAGTTTCCCACACACAAGCTAAGTTCGTATCATCATTCACTTCCCTTTTTTATTGTGCATATAGTTACCCACATACATTGTACATGTCTCCATACACCAATCCTTCTGAACTTAAACAGGGTTACCCTGACACTCCGTAAACACACACGGCAAGCCTTGCACTCTGTCAAAGTTTCTCCGTCCACCCGTTTTAAATGTACGCATGGTTTCACGTTGTATCGTGTTTCCCACATAGTGATATTTTAAAAAAAACTGTCACTACTTTGTGATCTTCATCCGGGGATATTATTCCTTTGTTACCTTTCATAAAAGATAAAGTACGCATATCTTTTAACAATGACACAGCTAAATGTATTTGGATCGATGTGATCTATGAATTAAAAGTATCCTGTTTCAGTCACTCAAAAATTATATTACATTCAATTCTCTCAGTGAAATAATCTTAGTTTATTTTACTTTCTAAAATGGGATCAGATATCAGAACATACCGTCTTTGTAAACAGAAACATTAAAATCTGCATCGTGTTTGCAAAGAAATGAAACGCATGGTATCTTTACAGCCACATTTGTACAAAAAAATAATACTCACATAATTCAATGCCTAATTCATAAAAACAATCTATATTTCTTAATGTAAATTCTTATTTGATAAGCTCTTAATCAAAATTAGCGATCACGATTTTATTTTCGAAATAAAATTCATTTTTAAAATGTAGACTTTAATCGGAAAAAATATATAATTCACCTGTTTTCTAGTTCATAATCCCTAGAACAAGTGAAATGGTCAGCATATAACAGTGTAATCAAAATGGTTGGATGTTGTAGGACTATAAATAAAGTTGGGGGGGGGTGAAACTACAACTTGTATATTGTACCGAAATAACAAAAGACACATAACACATTTTATTCATTACATATAACTAACTTGTCATAAGTCAACTAACACCATTAACTCCTGCTGCGTGTTTCAATTATTGCCATTATGACGTCATATTTTAACGGCGTCATATGCATTGTGACGTCACCAAAGAAAGAGGTAAAAAGTGAGAATATCGCATATTCCCATTTTCATATTACCCTGGTATAATAATGTTTTCATCCATGCTTGTTAATGTGTCTAGATTTTGTGAGAAATATTATACACAAGTCTTCTTTGAACGATGCATATTATCAAAATGCATCACAGCCGTGCAAACGATAAAAATTTCGATACAGACATACAGACAACGTTAACAAATCTTCAAATTTTTACACATACACTGCATGCATTTGTTGTACACCCCACACGGAATGTTTATGAATTTCAATGAATTCATAATCGCTCGACAGGAACGTGAAAAGATAGACAAGGTCATTGAAGCTAACGCTTTCAATAGGACTGTTTGAGCGTAGTTTTCCGTGATAGGGATTTGGGGTGCTATGCACGTGTTCGTCACGTGTCCAACTACATTGGCGAAGGTATCATCCCGATTTTTTTTATCCTTTTACAGTACAGTTGAAGCCTACAAGTGGTGTAGATATAAACTGCATTTCATCATTTTGTAAATTTAAGGAGGCTAAACAATTTTACAATTTACCGCCAGATTTTCCTGAAACTTCTACGTAAATACACAAATACACGAAATGTATATCCCAATGCAAAACTTCCGGTAGACAAATAGGTAGTTACCTCACTACATGTGTGCAAACATTATGTAGGGCCGCATGTCTCTGCATTCTGAATTTTAATCTTATCTTGGTGCTTTGATTAAGTAAAAATGACCTTTTTACGTAATTCTCTATTTAACAGGAACTGTTTGTGGAGACTTATTTCCGTGGTGTAAACTTACAACATCCATTCAAGGGAAAAACACTTATAGCTGACAAATTAAAAAAAACTTTCATGTCGAGATAAAAAAAAACAACAACAACAAAAGAATACTTTCGAGACATTCCCTTATAGTTAACGATATCTTCGGGTTATCGTATCTAAGGAATTGGCAGACATTTTAGTACAAGTCTTGCTTGGAAACGTGTGAGGACCTCCCAGGGCATAAAAGGCCTGCAACCTTGTCAAACCGGTTATCCTTATTTCATTGTGGGCGCAAAGCGACTACTCTATATATAGAAGAATAGATACCTTGTATAAGTACAGACATTTAACCACTTTCCCATTTTTCTTCCGAGTAACTTAAGACTCTTGAAGTGGATGTTTAACACGTATATATAGCTAACAGGTACGATATTAGCCAAATAACAGTAATATTCATATATTTGCATTACAATTCACGTATCATGGGCTGCGTTTCGGAGGGAAAAAACAACATATCAACAAATAAATAACAACTACAAACTCTACCTTGTTCTTTCAGAGTACAGAAATAAATTTCTGTGTTATAAACTTAACTATTTCCAGTCATTTTCTTCAGAAAAATGTTTACTTATCAAATTTTTACACAATCTACGTCAGGTTACCACTTTGAATGTGTCTTACTAGTCAAACATTTACACGATGAAGATTGAAAAAAAAGTAAACAAATACTTGCATGTACATGATATACAGTGTTAATCAAGCGCTTCTGTGACAAAGTAAAATTGGTCGCGTCTTGCAGTCAAAACATGTGCAGAAGAGTAAAGGAAGAATTTTTTTTTTTTGGGGGGGGGGGGGGGGGGCTTACATAGACTTTTGGTTAAGGTTAGGGTAATTTTGAAGTTCGTCAAATGCCTCAAAAAAATTTATAGCCTAACTCTATCCCTAAACCCATGGCCAGGCATTATCGTGCCTGCTCTTTTTCAGAAAGTCACAGAGGGATCTATGCGAGAGAGGATAGTCCTCAAACGGAGCACCGTTTAAAGTCCCGTCCGCCGGACTATGATTAGTAGCTAATGGTTATTAACCAGTTTGACAGTTTGCAAGACTTATAAACCTTGTGATTCCAATACTAAAAGTGGGCTTGGGGAACCTTCCTGCTGGTGCACTCTATCACAGTAAATGTGTGGATTTTAAATCATTTTATGTGGGGAGGACGAGAAAACCATCCATTAGGAAACGCTCTAAATTTTCACTCAGACAATATTAGAGTGTTGGACCAAGCCCGCGCTAAGGAGTCGAGTTTCATCGCCGCCTACATACTCGACCTCAGCTGGTAAGAGGACGCCACACACTGTCCTCAGCCAATGCGAGCAGTGTTCAGTTACACGTCCTTGAGATGATCCCCCTTTTCCTAAATTTGTTCAAAACAGTTCATCATATAGGACAACCTTTAGAAAAGTATTCTTTGTAACGGAGACAGTGTACGTCATATGTAACATAGTAATTCAATGCTTCTTAAATCGTTAGCTTAAAAAATAAGCTTCCCTGATACACATCATTCTTAATCGTTTTGGACATCTAACAACTGAAAAGCCTTAACATCTGTGGGATTTTTACAGTAATATATTATAAGATATCTCACTCTTAGGTTTTGAAGTTTACTACGAGTTAATAAAAATTGAA